AGTGAGGTTATTCGGTTTAACATCCAGAAAAGCCACCCCCCACCCTGCTTGTGCGTGTTTTTGCTTTGCAGAATTATGTTCAGTTTTCCAGATGAACACTGGATACCATACTATAATTATGTACTAAAAGAATTGATGTCCACTTTATATGTACCAATTTTAATTATTAAATTCGTTTTTCAAACTAAAACTGGTCGTGGGTAATTATGCACCAATATGGCATGTAACAACCCTTTTTTTCTTGGATTAATCAGCATAAAAATTATGAGTTCTTTCGATAGTAACCTTTCATCAAGCAGACAAGTGACAACGATTTAGAGACTCGTCGAAGTGGCAATATCGTTTGGGTGTTAAAACGATTTACAAAGATTAGCCAATAAAGAATTGCGGAGTGATCTGTTAAGTGAATTATCTTTTTAGATTGTAAGAGTAACAGAGTTAAAACACGGGTTATGTTGATGTTTATGCCCGAGTTTCATTAGCAAACGAGGCCTTAATCTGCATACTATTTAGAGAATGTGTAATGCAAATAAGATTGAGTGGAGTTCAATAGACCATTTTTCTGTTGCGTGCTTGGTTGCCGAGCCTTTGAACAGGAGTGATCTGAAGTCAAGGGTGACCTTGTTATGATACAAACATTCCCGCTTTTTAAATGTAAATTACTTTGTTATCATGCTAACTATATACTGGTCTCTATCACAACAAGGTCACCTTTAGCCTCACTCCAAATTGAAGGCTTGGCAACCAAGTACACAACTATATAATGGCCTATTCGTGCTCAAATCGGGTTCGTGAGAATCAATTACTTTCGAGAATTTTCTTCTTGTTTTGATTGTTATCCCTGATACGCGCCCTTTCCTCGAGTCGGCGCCAAGTCGCGGCGATTAGATAATTTAGATTTCCAAAATCAAGAAAACAAACTTTGGTGAGAGTTTTATTGCTTTAGGAGAGCATTTATCTTCTCCAATCAACCGTTTTGAAGAATTACTAAAAAGATCTCCAGAACACTAGATGTCAATGAATGACTTGTGAACGTGGAATCTGAAAGTACCTTGATTGTTGTTTTGGCAAACAAGTGCGAACGTTCAAATGAGAAACTGAGTATGTTTTTTTCAAACGAGTTAAGGTTGCTGTGGTTACCATCACTCAGAGAAAGCTGAGGGCTCTGCATCTAACATATTTAAGTTTTATTTTGTTGAAGATGTAAATATAGGTTCCTATATATAGGTTACTTCGCGAGGGGAATTCTTCGTACCCTGTGGCTATGATTTTAAAAACAGTAATTTCATCATTATCAGAGTCGAGGGAAAAAAGAAGTTTAAAGCCTATCTTTTTTTGTTCCGTTCCAAAGGAAGAGTCTCTGTTACGACCTAGAGCTGTAAAATATACGAAAAACAGTTTTGTTGTACACTCGGAAAATTGAGGAGCTTTAACAGCTTTTGATGAGAAATATTGTTAAGTTTCCATTATTTTACTTCATATTCAGATTTAGAATATTTAGAGTTCGGATAATCAATTAGTTGAAAGAGGCCGACATGCTATTTTAAAAGTTTAAGTAATTTTTGGAAAGCAATATGGTAAAAAACTGATATAATTATAACTTGAGAGTTTCGGACGGTGGGATATGAAAAAAAAAATCATATTCACAAATCAGTCTATGAGGCAAGATCGGTCCTGTTTATCGCAAAATTTTTCATTTCCTAACGGTTTTTAGCCTGTAGCAAATCGAGGACGATTTCAAAAAAATACAACTGAAATGAAAAAAGTTTTAAGCTACGTGATCGTTTAGAAATGCCGACGACACAAACGAAGTATGAATTCATTTAGGAGCACCTTGTAGTAGTTTCAGCTAAGTAATATGGGCATCGACTGTCATTTATTTTATTTTGGCCATTAGCGTGCAAACTAAAGATACTATCTGCAAATGTTTAATAGCTTGCCGAAATAATTACTTCTGGTTCCTGATTGGACTAGTCCAGTAAAAATGTCATTTTGATTCGGAGATCTAATCATAAAATTTTAAACGAGGAAATGATGATACCTCCAATATGTCTGGGTAGATAATCCTGTTGACTTTTCCCAGGCTGTTGATTTTCTTCAAAACGGAGATTAATGGTCGATTCGAAATAGACTGTGAGCGAGCAACGGATTAATAACTCACATCAAGAAAATTTGCGTCCCATGGTCAGTTTCATTCTTTATCATCTTTAAGGTTTTTCTTTGCTTTTTCTTTTTCACCACTTTACATTTGAGAGTCTTGGATTACAAAACAAAACAAAACAAAAAAAAAAAAAGCATATGAATAATTAATATATTTAAGACGAGATAAAATATCACCCATGAGAAGTCATTAGTCAAGTTGCTCTAAACCACCATCGCCCCTACGAAACGAGAAAGACACACAATCTTTGTTGCCAGCGAAGTAATCTCCACAGTATTTTACAAGGAAAGACATCATCAGTACGGAACGGAAGAAAAGAGTTCGCTGTTAGGCAGACAACAGTGTTTTACTGACTAAAGGTGATGACGACACTTGCGATTGAGGAATAATGGTTCATAACGGCTGATGGCTACATCTTGCCACGGTTGAATTGGTAAGAGACGTTTATTCCCGTCTCTATTCTATATAACGCAAGAAAAAATTTTTGTCTGAGGCAAAGGTATCATCTTGAGTATTATTTTCTTTGAGATCAAATTTCATTGGATCGTACTCGACCGGATGAAATTACTAAGACGTGGACACGTTGAAACTCAATACTCTAGCCTTGCAGTGGATTCTACATAGCAGTGGGTATCAACTCTTTGCCAGGAATCAATCCACGAATAAATTTATACGTTTATATCAAAGCTTGAAACGGAACAAATATGGCCATGACGTGGCATCTGCCTCCAAGAAGTCTCAGTTTAATCGTTCTTGAATCCGTTGCTTCGGTTGCGCTCATCGTTCTTTCTTTAATTGGTAATGTTTTAATTCTAACAGCGCTATTTCGTAACCCGCGGCTTAGAAACACTAGCAACAGTTACATCGCCGCTCTTGCAGTGACTGACATTCTCAGTGCCTGTGTCCCAGGAACTCTCTTCGCAAGTACACTTATTGCGGGGAGACTGGTCTTTGGAATGCCCGTATGTCGGCTGAGTGGTTTCCTCGTTCACTTCCTCACCTATGTTTCTATGACAACGATGACCTTGACAGCAGTCAATCGTTACTTCCGCGTTGTAAGGCCACAGTTGTACCGGAAGTGGTTCACCAAAAGGAGGTCTTGGAGCATTTTAGTCGCTCTTTGGCTTTTTATAGCCGGCTTCGTTTTTTATCCGACCGCACTTGGCGTGGGAACTTTCACGTTCAACCCTATGCTGTCATTCTGCGCATACACTTTTGCGAGTAAAAGCGCAGAAACGGTGTTCACAGTGGCAGTGGTCTGCGTATTTGTCGTCTTTTCCTTGTCGTTGGTTTGCGTGTGTTATTATCACGTTTCCAAACAGATTCGCAGTCATAACGCTGGAATACGTCTCTCCCTCCAAGGTGTTTCCGTCCACGAAATAAAATTGTCCAAAGTGCTCTTCATTATGGCTTTCGCGTTCGCAATATGCTGGATTCCCACGTTTGGAGTCGTCTTGATCATAAGGGTCGTTTTAAGAAGGGCCCCACACGAATTAGCTGTGGTGATTCCCTTCTTGATTCAGACTTCAAGCGTTTTGAATCCCCTCATATATGGAGCATTGAGTCCACCCTTTCGTCGGGAGTTCCGCCGTTTGACTACGTTTACACGGAGGGCTCGCTCTAGTGATATAAACTCAAATGCATCTTCGCCTGTAGGACAAATAGGTGTGGCTCTGGAGCAGATATATATCAGTCGACTCTGCGGTGTGGATGATTCTCGAAGGCAGCAAGCTGGTTGGGACGAACCATCACAGTTTCCGAGCTCAAAGGTTGCCTGGCCGGTATAGGCGCATTTTATGAAATAATAATTAGCAACTCGCGCTTTTAAATCTGTGAGAAGATACTTTATAAAGATAGTACTGTCACACTCATCAAGATTAGCAGCAGCTTGGTCACAAACTTGAGGTCGGATGGGCGTAAATACTTCGAGCTCTCATTGGTTCCTTGGGATGTCATAATTTTTTCTGATTGGCCATTGTTGATCCTTCAGTGGCCATTGTTGTTCTTTCAGGGGCCATTGTTGATCCTTCATTGGCCTTTGTTGGTCCGCCATTGGCCCTTGTTGATCCATCGTACTGGTTCGACTCGTGTAACACCGCCAACTTGACATGGTACCTCGCTCACTTTAGAAATGAGCCGTAATTTTGAAATCGCAAACCGTCGAATTTCCGTTATTCTCCAACAGTAAAACAGTGGATTGATAGAGGAATTTAACATCACCATTATTCCCGTGACGAATACGGTAGACTTGGTCACCTCGATTTGGAATAACATCGCCATGAAGAAACTCACTCCAAAGGGTAAATAACAGAAGAAAATTGCACCAAGAACAAAAATAACTGCCAAAACAGACTTCCTGTACTTGGAAATGTCCAATTCAGAAAATCTGTGCAATCTTGTGGCTAATTTTTTTTGATTCAGGATCTGCTTTTTGTGCCGCCGCAATATTGCAAAAATTTGATAGTAGGAGAAAACCATCGCAGCGACTCCAGAAATACCTAGAATGAAACCAAAATAAATGGAGGCCTTCCTATACCAACCTATTGTGGAGAACCAGAAGTAAAACGAACATGGAATGCATATACCAAGAAATAGCAAATTAAACTTGATCGCACGGCTGACGGTGATGATGGCGGCATATCGTAGATGTAAAACAAGAGCAAGATATCGATCAACAGTAATCGCCGTGATGGTCATGAGAGAAACAACCACAAGAGTGACTCCCGGAGGATACAGCATGGCACTAGTGACACAGTACAGGGAAATATTGCGAGTTGTTGCACCTATCAGGTGTAAGACACACATGGGCTGAACAAAAATACCGACAATAAAGTCCGATAGTGCCAGGATGAAGAGGAATACTGAAGACGGCGTGTGTAATGACGGAGTCACTTTTATGGCCCACATCACTAAAAAGTTGCCTGTCGTCGCGAAAATACTTGATATGATGCTCACTAAACACGAAACGATGGCTGGAGCGGCTTTAATGTCTGGAACATCCCCAGGAAAAGTAACAAGGCAGCTATTGGGAGAGAAGGTTGCGTTACCACGCTCAGAAGGATCCATGATTGGAAGATGCCTATGGAAGATATAGATTACAAGAAATACAAAAATAATGCAATCTCTCTTGAGCGATCACTTTATATTACTGGTGGCTGTCTTGAAAAGAGTCGATTAAAACCAAATTCCTAGATCTTTGTTTATTAAGTTAAGAAAAATAAAATCAATCGGGAATAAGAAAGCTTGAGAACTTACCACTAACTTCAGAGTAAGATAAATTTAATGTACCGGTAGTTGTTCGAAATGAACTAGACTGCAATCCACCGATGAATCGAATCAACAAACGAAAATGTAGAAATAATGAATGGAATAAAAATCACCTGCTCTTTATTCAAACAAACCTAATATTTTTCATCCCTATAAGTGACTTTATATCCCGCCTATGTTCTTCAGTTTTTGTCAGTTTCCATCCCACTATAGCGGCACTGTGATGCTCTCGGAGTTTTTTAATTAAAACTTTTAGAACACTGTTTAATCAAATTTAATTGATTTTTAAAACTTTTGTCCCACAGTTGTCAAATTATTTAAAGTGCACCAACACCCAAAAAAATTTTTTCGCTTAACGAAGTAAGCTTATTTTTTTGAGTATTTCTGCGCAAAAATTTTTTTATTTGCTCAAATCTTCAATTTTCTATGCCCAGTCAAAATACGGAAAATCGGCCGCCATCTTGCCCCACGACCGAGTTTAAAGAGGAATGGCTCTAGTGGGTAATGTGACGTCAAATCGAGAACACGAAAGTCTGC